AGTTTTTTGGTAGTTTATATGCATGTGTATATACAATATCTTTCTACATATAAATTACGAATTATCAAAATCACCTTTGAGCATTACTCAAATCAGGTTAGGGCTATTACAGAAAAAAAATATGGGTGTTAGAATGCTTTAAATTATTTTTGTATGGGTTACAAAGTTCAAATTGTTTGCAAAGTTAAATGCAGTTGTGTTGGTGATGGCCATAGAAAAAAATAGGGAATGTGTTCATTGGACACAGATGATACCACTGCTTGCATATTATATAAAGGGACATAAGTATTGTGTATAAGTTTCATAAAATTTGGTTGAGATGACTTAAGTTGGAGAACAGAAACAAAAACATTTGTATAGAGGCATAACTCTACAAAAAAAATTGGTACACTCCCAAAATTCAAACTTGATCAGTACTTTGTTGAATAAGCATTGTCTATAAGTTTTATAACATTTGGTTGTAGTAAACTTATGTTGGATTACAGAAACGAAAACAAAATCAGCATTTTTTCCAGTTGTAAAGGGACATAACTCTAGAACGATTAAAGTGACACCACCAAAATTCAAACTTGATCTGTGTGTTGTGTTAACTAGCATTGTGTATAAGTTTCATAACATTTGGTTGAGGCAAACTAAAGTAAGATAACGGACAGTTTTGAACCAACTTTGGGACGTACAGACTTATATACTGTAACAGACATACTGTCGTACAGACAGACAAAGGTAAAATGTAATGCCCCCTCTGCTACAGCAGGGGCATATCGATGCCTTCTGACATCACCACTCTTCTCAACATCATAGAGTTAATATCTATAATTTCTCAATAAATCAAACAACTTTTTTTATCCTACATATGTAATTTTACATGATTTAGCAATATGATTGGATGTACTTCAATTGCCTGTAAAATGATAAGATAAAGAGATAAAGCTTGTATCAGCAACATTATCATATCTTTTAAAAGTGCAGGATTAATCAGTCATGTCACAATGAGAGAGAACTTATCAAGTATATCTCTGGTAAGGCAATAAAGATTAGATACATGTAAAGGGCTGTGATTAATGCATCATAATTCATGCTTAACATATCACCAAGGAAAATTTAAATACTTAAATCATTTATGAATAAGCACTGGCTATTTAGGGAAAAAAATTCATAGGAATAAAGTGGAAATTTTGGCCTTTTGAATGGAGATACCCAATAAAGTCTAGCACAAATATAAATGGCCAGAATTTTCACATGGTATACAAAGAAAAAATTCCAACTTCAAATACTTAGGGTTGACCCCTGTATAGGCAACTTTTGACTCATAAACCATAAATGTTATATTAAAACTGTCATATATATCACAATGGAAATTATACAAAGAATACAAAGAAAAAAGGCTTTCCATCATACTTTTTAATAAAATGTTGTATTGCAATAAAGTGATTAACCTGTTTTGAGCCCCTTTTTTGAGGGTCTAGAACAGGCTTTTTTTTATAGTCTTAAACATTGTTATAGTAAAAAAATTCTCATGTTTTGGTTCATAATAACTGAATAATATCACAGTGTCTACAGATATCCAACAACACCATCACACCATTATACCATTATACAAATCAATACAAAATAAGTTTTTGTTTTGCCTTTCAGATCATTGACTGCACTCACTGCTGATATTTTACAATATGGTTGTGTTCAAAACCAGATATCTTTACATATATTGATTTATTGTACATTAAAATTTTCACGAAATTTCCTATGCAAATCTTGTAAAATGCCAAAATGCAACAGGTTTGATATTGTTATTTTTAGTTTTAGAAATTAAATTTACCAGATACTCATGTACACTGATAAATAAACTTTACTAAGAAATATACTAAACAAGGAAGCAAATGGCTCAATCTATGAGATAGCAATGCTCAGTTAGTGGTACACTTTGGTATTTTTACCAAATTCTAATACAGTTATAGCTTTCATTTAGATTGTAATCAGTATAAATACAGATTTAAAAAAAATCTCTGTATGCTTCTTAATTACATTTAAGACCTTATTTCCATGAGTACTATCAGTAAAATTGAAAGAAATCATCTCCGTTTTCCTCTTGAATTTAATATATTTCTTAACAATATCAAGAAACAAGGAGCCTGTGTCGTTCACCTGAATTTTTTGTTTACAATTGATGCATAAAATAATGCAACCATTATACTTTTGCTTAAGTTTCAGAGTATCAGCCAAGAACTCATTTTACCATTACATGTATGTTCTGTTTTTAACCATGTCAAGCATGTTGGTGAGCAGGCAGGGTCATCAGACACAATTTTAAACTAGATACCCTCTTCATGATTGTGGCCAAGGTTGATTAAATTTGTCTTAGAAGTTTCAGAGTTATAAGCCGAAAACTGCATTTTACCTATATGTTCTATTTTCAGGAAAAAGATTTTTGTAAAATGACAAAAATTTACAAATAATTGGTAAAAATTGACTATTTAGGGCAATAACTCCTTAAGGAGTCAATTGATAATTTTGGTAAGTTGACTTATTTGTAGATCTTACTCTGCTGAATATTATTGGGTTTACAGTTTATTTCTATATATAAAAATATTCAAGATAACTAAAACCTCCAAAATTTTCTTAAAATTAATATTTCAAGTGCAGCGTTACCCAACTACTGGTTGACTGATTTTAAACCTGATGAACATTTGTACCCATGTCAAATTTACTCTAAATGCTTTAGTTTGAGAGATATAAGCAAAAAACAGGTATTTTACGTTCTATTTTTAGTCATGGCAGCCATGTTGGTTGGCAGGCAGGGTCGTCGAACAAATTTTAAACTAGACACCCTTACATTTTGTATAATGATTGTGGTCAAATTTGGTTAAATTGGCCCAGTAGTTTCAGAGGAGAAAATTTTTGTAAAAGTTAACAACAACAGACTAGTGGATATATAATAGTCTTAATTGCATCATATTACATCTCTTATTTTTATACAAATATAAAACATGATGTGTAGTCTATGTTAAATTCTTAAAACACATTCACATACAAAGGGTGAAACACAATAAAAGGGACATTTACAATATGTCTTCATTGTGTTAGCTATACAGCTAAACTACTTAATACAATAAATACAGTTCTCTTTATCATGTTTATCAATATAAGCCATTGGATCCTTTAGCTTAATTCAAAATTTGAAAATTCTGACTAAAATAATTTTTAAATTCAGGTGAGATAAGAGATCCAAAAATTGTCCTTTTCAGAAATTTTGAAATTGCCCTTCAAAAATGACCATATTTTTTCCATTAAATTTATTCAAATTGTAAATGTATTCATTTTCAGATTATCTTAATGCCCATAAAAAATTGAAATAAAACTTAATTTTCTTATCTATACATTTTTAAATCTATTAAGTGTTGATCATTTATAGCCTTGAAAATATTTTCAGTCCACTACAACAATAAATATTTTTTGTTTAACTACTATGGCTGAATGTATAGATTCTTTGAAGTCTGCCTTAATGTAGCATCATTTATTGCTTGATACAAAGTTTAAAAAAATAGAATAAGAGTGTGTCTTAGAATATGAAGGTATCCACCCAAACTTTCCAATTTTCAAAGTTAAAAAGGGGCATAACTCAAGAATGGTAAATGACTCACAACCTATATTTGAATTTTGTCTACCTGTCGTGGTTCTTAGCATTTTGTTTGAGTTTCATAAAACTTGGATCAGGAAAACTTAAGATTGCAAGAAAAAAATTATTGCAATTTTCCATGTTATAAAGGGGCATAATTCTAGAAAGGTTATTGACATACTGCTCAATTTGATCTTGTCTGCAAGTGAGTTTTTATTTAGAGTTGTGTAGGAGTTTAATTAAATTTCTATAAGTCATATTTAATTTAAAGTGCAGAGACGAAAATGGGATGGTCAGACAGTAAAGGGTAACTCTTAATGCCCCTATTGCCTATGTCTACAGGAAAAGGGGGGAAGGGCATAAAAATGATGAAAACAATAATTTGCTTAAAATTCTTGATGTACTAATTTAAAACCAGAAAATATTATTAAAAAAACAATTTTGTATCAGTTGGTTATAAACTGAAGAGATGAGTTTTTTTGGCATTATTTCAAATTCATATTATGAACACAATCATGTAGAATTGTTATAGATCTGTATTTGACATTAGAGTTTTTTGTTTGTTTGAAGAATGCATTTAAAAGTTATTTTGATGACCCCAAGTATATTCTATGGTAAATTTTCCTTTATTTTTGACTTATTTACAATTCCAGTAGTATGACTGACGGAAAAATATATTTGACTAAATTTTATTCACCTAAAGTATTGATGTTTTCAGAAAATTTATGGAAAAAGGTAGCCAATAATCCGGTTTTTCATTTATTAAGAATGGTGGTATTATTTTTTTCTAAATATAAAAGATATAACATTTTTCCTGTGATTTCTTTGTTTGGTATAATAATTAGTTGATTTTGGAATTATAATAGTGCTTTAAAGACTTGTTATATTTTATTAAAGACATACATTTCCAGAGGTGACTATTACCAGTAGTGTCTGTGATCTGAGCACTTGCCTAACCAAATACAAATTAGAATGTAAAATTAAAATGTAAAACATTTCCAGTAGTTTTTTCACTTACCAAATAAGTTTTGTAAAAATCGAATATTATTAATTGAGGATAACAATTCTTTTTCAATTGTGCTGATCTCTATTTCTTACCCCAGGTGCAAACTTGGACTGTTCCCTTTATTGTGTTTAACCTGAACACATAGCTTAACTATATAGTATGCCCTTAAATCAGGAATTAAATTGTTTATAATTAAAATGAATTTTAAATCTGTTAATAAGATAGACACCATGTTTATAATTATGACGAAATTGTCTAATAGATTGGTTTGTAACCATGGAACAGCATCCACCATTTCTACAATCATGAGATACAAACAAAGAGCCCTCAATGATATTGTAAGGCAAGCTTTTTCTTCTTGTGGTGAGTGTAAGGCTTGCAATGGAATAAGGGATCTTCCTGGTGAGGTATCATCAACAAAACAGTAACATCTGAACTGGTTTTGCAGTCAATTTTACCATAATTAATCTGAAAAAGAACATTTTAAAGATACTTTATCTTTCAAAAAAATAACAACTTTAAATTTGAATTGTTTGCATAATTTATGATATTTTGCATCTTTTACAACAATTGATTAAGGTAGGTGTAAAAACTTTAAATTTGGATCTTAAAATTTAAAACTTTTAGATTCCAACCAATAAAAATCCATAAAAAAAATCATTTATAAGCATTTATTAATGTATCTCTACCCCTTGGTATCAGTTTATTGTTTTAATTCTAAAAATGAACAATGAACTTATCAAAAGGAAAAATTTTCATTATTGAGTGATTTATCTGGGGAAATACATAATAGGTGTGTAACATCTGATTTTTGTTTATAATAGGTGTGTAACATCTGATTTTTGTTTTTGTTTTAAATCACCCGGAGATGCACAGATTAGTTTTTAAACAGACATGTTTATGTAATAATTTTTGATAATAACTTAGTGTTTTCATCTTAAATTGAACATGTTCATATCTCTAATATGGCAATCATTAGCTTGGAACTATTGGACAATGAACAAGCTCCGGGGTTTAATGGTATTCATCCTCATATTGTATTATTTCATACTGCACTCATTCTATTTGAGCAGTCAAAATGCGTTGACTGTATATTTCTTTGTCACATACCGTCACTGACCTGATATCACTTTTCCTCATAAATATTTACCTCTTCAACCTGTTCTTGTTTCCAATGTTACAATGATGCGTGGAACGACTCAAACTTAATTATTTCATATTTTGGAAAAACATATTTCATTTGTTAATAATATTTGTTTGAAATCTATAAATGATTTATGTATAGTTGATATTTTAGTCCATACTCAAACAAATTTGTTCACCATCGATTGAGGGTTTCAACAGGTAATGTACAGTTCACTGTGTTGCATATTTCTCCGCCTGATATGAGGCCTTTTAAAGGGCGATTTTTCACAATATTTGAATCAAATAAATAATATTAACACATTAAACAACAATTGAAAATGTTTTTTTCTAGATTGCAGAGCCTCGCATTTCCCTGTTTCTAAGCCTCATCCTTATATCGTTGAAATGTCAAGTCAATGCACTATAATGGTCTATCTATCATGATTAAAGCATGTGAGAAAATCACAGTGAACAACCTTGTCTGGAATAAAAAAAATGGCATACTTACATGGTCATCTAATTTAAAATAAACAATTTCTCCAATGTTTAATTTACTTCCATCCTTCCTTTTCATGTTTCTGATTTCGTCTCCTACATTTCTTTTCACTCCTATAATTTGTTCTAATAAAAATTGTAAAATGTCAATTTATTTAAGAAGACTATAATACATTTAAGTGATATCTGCTAAATTATTTAAGAATTCAGTTTTATTGTATAGAAAATGGTGTTAAGTGTTTCAAGAACAGCTGAACATATATTTCCTTTCATTCTTCCCTTTTAACTTATTTATTGACTCATTAAAATACTATACTTTGACTTCTAATGATTTGACTTTTAATTGTTTAACATTACAGGTGCCATTAGTTAAGGAGAATAGGCTTACAATTCTATAGCATCTGATTTCAACTCCCAGTTTCTTGTGGGAAGTCATAATGCCTAAAACTTTAGCTTTCAGTGTTTTGGTTTATAAATTTATCCTGCAATTAGGTGTCTTATCATACATTAACAGCCCAACAGATATCAACAGGGTGTTCTGTTGTGCAGTTTCAGAGGAGCTGCGATGACAAACTGTTGCAGTAGTATATTGAGGCAAATAAGTTCAAAGGGGCATTACTCCTAGAAAAAAAAATTGAATCAATTTCTTGTCAATATGCACACCTTCAAAGTATGTCTTTATTATCTACCAGTTTCATGAAATTCTGGTGTGTGGTTTAGAGGAGTTGCGATGACAAGAACAGGACTGATAGACTGACATAAGGACAGACAACGGGTCAAAAACATGATACCCTCTGAAACTTCATTCAAAGCTTGTAGCAACTTTAAAAAAAAATTATTGTATCCAAAACTAAAATCCTACCATCTTCTTTCTGTGTCCTATTTCCCATTACAAAAGTTTGAATCCGTGGATGATTTATCTCTTCAATTGTCTGTTGTGCAGGTTGAACTCTGTAAAAAAATATATTACTTTTAGTTCCCCTGTATAAATTGATCAATTCACTCACAAACAAATAAAAGTCTGAAGTTTGTGAGTGACTTGGTCCAGTTTCTACACCAATAAATTCCTTTAAAAGGTGTTTACTCCTTATTATAAGTTATATGGTTCGCTACTGACCCCTACCGATCCATAGAGGGTTAGTAAAATCCATAGGGGGTGAGGCCGGAGGCCGAATCACCTATGGATTTTATTCACCCTCTATGGTCCGTAGGGGGTCAATAGTTAACCGTACAACGAATTTATCGTTCGCTGGACTTTTTCTGCGGCATTTTACTGAAAAATAAACAATGAAACACAACAACAGTAATAGATGACGTCACCATAAACAGTAGATGTGACGTCATGAACCCCCTATGAAATTTACTAACCCCCTACGGATCCATAGGGGGTCACCACGTGACAGCTTTAAACCAATCAAAACGTGATAATTTACCCGCCGTGCGATAAAATTCTTTAGAATTGGAGATAAGGAATACATTTAACCATACTCATAACCCATATCACACGTAAATTCTATATTTGTGAAATTGAATAAGCCTAGCGCAAGAATATATATGTTGGTTAACTAAAATATATGTACTTCGTGAATTTGCTATCTGATAAAGAATAAACTACAAAAACTCTTATTATCATTCAAAAAAATGTTTTGTGTTTATTTTTTTATTTAACGATTAACGCTAAGTGAAAATAGATTTTGTTAACCTCGGTCCAGATTGTGTTATCATTGCCACCATCTTGTTTACATTGGTTATGAAAAGAAGTTAGGTCAATGTCGTCTATCGAAAAAAAAAACAACATTAAGAACAGCTACTCGAAGTTTTCTCGACTAATATCAATGTATTCCCAAATATGCAAATCATATAAGAATTATCACATGATAAATGCTGTCCTATACCTTTTCCCATTTGAAAACCATGTCCCACTGTCAATGATATGGCAAACTTCCTCAACATGAGCTAACTTCAAAGCTGTGTCTTTGTTGGCATTGTGGTGGTTTGTAATGCTCTGAAAATGTTTGACTATACCACACAAGCTTTCCCCTGTCTCTAAAATAAAAAAAATAATTATACAATTGTAGGTAAATTGAAAAATATGTCAAATTAATAAGTTGCATTATATAACATTCAGTTCTTAATTTTTACAATTCTGTGTGGTCTGAGTTGTCTTTTTGTCTCTTCATCTTATACATGTCTTTCAACAATTCCGGATATTTTTTTTTTACTTTTCTCAATTTTGAATTTTTTTCAATTTGAAAATCGTTTTAACAATTACTTGACTACATGCTTTTATATGCTGGAATATCAATCCTGTTAGAATTCAACCAAATTGTAGTTTGTTTTAAAAAAAAATCAACTGATAAATTAGTACTAAAAAATCCAAACATCTTGAATAGCAAATTAACAAATAATCAACAGCTAGGTGTATAAAAATAACATTTATTAACTTTTACCAGTAGTATAACCTATAGGGACCCCATGAAGTCTGATTTGTTGCTCAGTATGGAGATTATGGTGTATTTTCTGTTTTTTCAATGTTTCTGGAAACTGCTTGTAAATGTTTTCATTAAATTGGTACTGCAGATCACCCAGCCTAGTGAGTTCCGATTCCAGCAATTTCATTTTGTTACTCAACTGAACAATCTGAAAATATAAATATAATAATAATTACTAATGAACCACAAACCCAGTGCTGACATGAATATTAATTATATGGTCATATGTATAAATTAATTGTATGAAAAAGTATGAATTATTTGAAATACGAAGTATTTTCTTATCCCAGGCATAGATTACCTTAGCCGTATTTGCCACAACTTTTAAGAATTTTGGGTCCTCAATGCTCTTCAGCTTTGTACTTGTTTGGCTTTTTACTTATTTTGGTCTGAGCATTACTGATGAGTCTAATTTGCTCTAAATGCTTTGGTTTCAGAGATATAAGCCAAAATCTATATTTTACCCCTATGTTCTATTTTTAGCCATGGCGACCATCTCGGTTGGTTGGCCGGGTCATCGGACACATTTTTTTAAATTAGATACCCCAAGGATGAGTGTGGACAAGTTTGGTTCAATTTGGCCCAATAGTTTCCGAGGAAAAGACTTTTGTAAAAGTTAAGACAACGGACGACAGATGCCAAGTGATGAGAAGAAAGGTCACTTGGCCCATTGGGCCAGGTGAGATTAAAACACATTACTATAACACCAGAGACCATAATTCTGTAACTTTTAGAACCAGAACTAAATGCAAAACTTTAAATCAAACATAAAATCAGTATCTTTAAGCACGAAAAAAAAATTATGGAAAGCTCATACATAGGTTATTTAAATAATAATTTGTGTCACAGTAAGTACTCATTGAAATAGTAAATTATGTGTTAAGCAAACATCAAACTTTACTGTATACTGCATAACTAAACTATTGTTTAGCAACAAACACCAAGAGATGATATGCTAGTTTTCATATGTAATGTATACCTATAAGGGTTTACTTTTATAAATTATTACTTGGATGGAGAGTTAAATTATTGTCTCATTGGCACTCATACCACATCTTCCTATATCTATCTACAAAGAAAACTAGGCCAATAAGTGCCTAATTTTCTGGAAAGAAGTAAATAAACAATATAAGGTCAATGTCAGAAAAATATAAACTTTTTTGTATGAGGCTGAGAAACTGGGGAAGGGTGCAACTTAAACTAATACAATGATAGCTTTTTAAATTGTAACACAAATGTCCAACTTATTTTCATCTCTTAATGAACTACTGATTGTGGAGAAAGTGTTCCATGATGAAATTGACATTGCACAAGGTCCAAGGACACAGTTATCGTCCTTTGGTTTTCGTTGTCTACAAATATAGTCCCTAGTGTGAACAGTGTATAACTTGCATTTTTTTTTGATACACTTTCCCAATTTATTTCTTGATATTTTATGCATGAAATATTAAGTAAGGGGATGAAATTACATGTTAAAAAAATTTGGGTGCTGAATCTTTATGTTAAGTAGTGATTTGATCCAGTTAAAAAAGGTCAAAAATTAGAATGTCTGAAGCTGTCAAACTGAATTTTAGCCCCCCTTAACACAGAATTGTCAACATTTTGAGTTAGAGCTGGTAGAAGTTCCTATAATTTTGATATTATTTGTATCAATAGTAGTACACTACACTGTAAAAATCTTTTTAAGATAGAGCAGGTGCGATTTTTTTAATTTGAATTTATTGTCTAAAAGAAATGCACTACGAAATAACTGTGTTCTCGGGCCACAAACTATAGCTGTGTTACTTTATTTAAGAAATAAACACAACTAGTTGCAGTATAAATGAGAATATTTTCCTAAGAATGCTTCCTTTTGCTTATGTAATATAAAACAATTTATCAAAATAGTTATGATACTTGTAAGATAGTTAAACCTGTTAGTTTTACCTACCTCAGACAATAGACACCAAAGTTTTACTATTTCTTTACTAAATCCTGCGTGATGAACTGTAAAGGGTGCAAGTTGTACCTAGATTTAGAAATAAAAATGCTCTATGCTCTACATTAAATATACATTTATGCAGTATTTTTATTATTTCAAACAAATACTGCATATGGTAACACTATTTTACTTGTTGATCGATTAGTTAAAATAGTTACAGATTACAATATGTCTATATAGTTTAATCATTGGATTAAAAACAAAAGATATTTATAGATTATCGTTGATCATCTCAAGAGATTGATTTTCTTGCTTCAGCTGGACGGGGAAAGTAAGATAAGCAATTGAGTTGAGATGACCAATGATAATCTCTTTATCGCTATTTAGCCTATGAAGATGTTGTTAATTTCCTGGACAACAGCACATGTTCCCTTAATTTCTAGCGATAATTTTCATCACTCAACTCTATTTTCATATCACTGACGACTCCGCTGAGAAAGGAAATTATCAGTCAACAGGATCAAAGGAAAATTCGTAAAATAGCAATAACAGTATATATTCTGGAAAACTGGAAAAAGCAAGGGTATATCAGATGGTTTTTTTAACCCTAATTGGAACCTCAACGTACATTAACTGTTACTATGATACAGTTCCAAATGTGTAAGATGTTATTTGCAATAGGTTTCATGGATAGATGCAAAGTGATGATTATGACAGTCACAATAGTTTACATGGTCTGTTTCTGGATTCAACTGCAATTTCCCATGCATTGCTAAGTAATAAGTAACACTCAATTGAAATCACCAATCCACAACTGAATCCAGATTTCTATATAAAACATATAATTCTTTAATGGATTCAGCAATTTAATGAGTTGGCACTTACAAATGACCTGAAGTCTTTCCCTTGGCTTGATTTGTGATATTTCACAAAGTTTTCTCCACATTTGTGATGAAAGCCCTTCCAGTCAGCTGCATTTAACGTTAGCTGTAAATTTTCCTGTAAGAAAGAACCAGAAGTATTAAAAGAACCAGAATTATCTTCAACTATCCTTAGCCAGCAACAAAACGGTTTTGATTATGCAATCTTTACCAAAAATGTTTTACCAAAGATTGATCTTAAAGTGTGCTGTGATACAAAACACTTCATAAATTTAAATACAATGTATAAACATTTCATAAAGATAAGCTGGCTTTTTATCAGCTGGAATTCACAACTGTATTCTACAATTTTCCAATAATAGAGACAATTACTCAGGATCCATTAAAAGTAAAGGGAATACATATTGTAAATTCGCCTAATCAGAATCTAAAGGACTATGGGTAATCTCATTGTTCGTACACCACCAAAATGAAAATAAAGTCACGTCATTGGTTGCATTTCTATTGTTTATCACGTTTTAAACCAATCACAACGTTTTGGTGTACGCTATTGTAAATATTACCCAGAATGCATTAGATTCTAAAACGGTATTGAACTTATTCTGACATTTGCATAGCTCAGTCCAAAAGTCTCAATGGTTAAGTTCAAATATGTATTTCATATTTCATAATTTGTTTCTTTAATGGACAATAGTATATGTCAATTTGATTTCAATGTATGTTCAGTAAATAATAATTAATAAATATAAAAAAGAAGATGTGGTATGATTGCCAATGAGACAACTCTACGCAAGAGACCAAATGACACAAAAATAAACAACTATTAGGTCACTGTACGGCCTTCAATAATGAGTAAAGCCTATATATACACATTAACTTATGATCAATAATCATTAAAATTGAGTTAATTTTTACATTTATAATTTATAACTTGCTTTCATAAATGTAAGTTGCAGATGTGTCAGTATAATAACATGTTTTCCATATGAAAGAATTTAACAACATTATGTGCCATTATGTGTTTGACCCAATAGAAATAATAAACATTTGATGCTTCAAAAAATTGTGGTTATAATGCACCAATAGATACCATAGCTTGGTGTTGAGATTAGGATTAAGAATTTGAATCACACTAATTAATTTTACTTAGAACATAGACCTGTGAAAAAAAAATTATATTGTAGGCATCCAAAAGAAATAAATCAGCTAGACTATTACATAAATAAATTTTATAGTATTTAAAAGAATGATTAGCATTAAAACAAAAGATATCAAGTCACAATTACCTTCTGCTGGTCAGTACAGTTGCCTAGCATACATTTTAATAGGATTGCAACTTCTCCTAAGTATATGCAATGAAGCATATCTGGAGGAATGTCCCTGAAATTATAATTAAAAAGAAAACAATAATTAAACAGTGCAGCTGGTTGTTTAGCTTTAGTAAAACTGTGGATTTCTTGATATCATATGTGATACCTATTGTAAGAATATTTTTATTGCAGTTTTATTATAAATTATTGATTAAATCAATAATGAATCTTGATTTAGGTGTAACAAATTTACAGAATACAAATATATATGGTTCTTAAATTAACTACCCTGCACCTGTACCTTATGATTTATTGTAAACATTACCGTAATCCACAACTTCTGTCTCAGAAAGTTAGACATAGGGATAGTGATCCAGCGGCGGCAATGCCAACTAACTTTTTAAAAGCTTTATGATCTAAGAAGTTGGAAGACATGCATGTTTCATACTTTGTTTATGCCTCATGTTCATAAGCTTTTGCCTGTCATACGTCCATTGTCCTTAACCTCACTTTCATGGTTCAGTGATTATTTGAAAAAAAAAGTTCAGATTTTTTGTAATGTAAACAATTGGCAGAGCTCAGCATTCTCAACATTCCTGTGTATGTGTGGGCCTCACAATATATATGAAGTGTGCATGTCCAAAGCTAAGTTTCAATTTTCAGTGCATGTAATTGTTTTTGCTTCTTGTATATATAACTATAAAATGATTATATATTGTAATTCTAATAATGCTTTCACACCATATATAATAATATATAATAAAGTCATGCATACCTGTGTGGATCCCAATGAGCAGCTTTGTTCATTTCTTCAGCCAATATTTTCTTTTTTATCCCAGTCATTGTTGATGTTTCTGTACTATTTTCAATCTCTTTTAGAATTTCCTCAGTTTTATTTTTTGTTCTTAATTCTCCAATAAGTAAGTGGTTATTTCGATACTGACAAAAAAAGGAACAAGATAAAATATATATGATTAATTTTTAGTCATTGGGTTTTTGTAAAAAAAAAATGTGATCCAATTCAAGACCATAAAATATAGGACCTGAATAAATTAGCAGACTGGGAACATTGATGGCTCATAAAGTTTAATGCAGACAATTCTAATGCAATTTTTATGTAACAATTTTTTTCATTGGCTAAAAGTTACCATCAAATCCACAGTTGACCAGGCGTAACTAAGGAGGGACCCGCCATTTTGAATTGATTGAATCAATAAATGTTCAATTACTAATATCATCGAAAATAAAACAACACCTACCTCGAATTCACCGTTTTAATGTAATTTTATCCGAATTTGAATCGCAGAGGTAACGTAATAACGTCCAGTTTGTAAGTTTTCATTTGTATGACGTCACGTTTAGCCATGACGTCTTCGAGCCAACATCATTCGCTAAGTTTCGCAGAATTTATTTTGTATGTCAAATTTATACATTTTTTCAAGCTTTATCGTATTATTTCTTTTTGTAATGTATTAGAATCTGAATAACAGTACTGTAGTTAAAGAGTTGCCACCGTTAATTTTGATTTGAAGGCCGCAAATCTCCGTTTTACCGTCTCCGCTAAGCGTCACCAGTAAAACTACATTTGCGACCGTCAAATGGACAATTGACGGTGGCAACTTTTCAACTACAGTACTTTTATTCCTTAAATGCAATGTCATTTCTATCAGCAAGAAATGATAATGATCAAATTCAAGGGGAGATAATAAATATTTAAACAGGTTGTTAATGCAAATCAGTCAGTTTCAGTGCTATTTTGTGAAATATCAAGAAAAGTTTTGACGTATATTTACAATTGGTAGAGCTAAACATTCTGAACATTTTTGTCCCTTTCAGATTTTCAATATTTATAACAGCTTCAAAATAATAAACAAAACTTGCTTTTTACCCTTATGTTCTATTTTCAGCCATGTAGGACATGTTGGTTGGCAGGTGGGGGTCATCAGACACATATCTTAAAACAAGACACCCTAATAATGATTATTGCCAAGATAAGTTCAATTTGGCTAAATAGTTTCATAGAAGAATTTTGTGAAAGTTTAAGAACGATGGCAGAAATTACCAAGTGATGGCCATGAGAGCTAAAAGAGGATTTTAGTTTTTGGACAAGTAACCCAAAAGAGCTTTAAGCAGTGTTCATGAACTTTTGGGAACTGTTTATAGCTATTGACATGAATTTCATATTGTATAAGTCATAGATTTAAAACTGTGTCCTGTAGACCTAGCTTATTTCAACAGAAGAAAAAAAGAAAACAATTTATCATATGTCAATAAACCTTTATAATATTACACAGCAATGGAAAAAAGGAAACCTGAGACTATTGTTGACTCATGATCAGATACTATTTATCAGTGATAATATTTATCATTAATTGTCTTACCCTGCAAAATCTACAGTTTTCTTTAGCTGCAGCACCCATGAGTGACAAAATTCTGAGGCCATACTGTTGTCCATTAACCCAACTGCTATTTGGGATGTTACAATAACATTTTTATTGTAAGCTGCATCATACATTACTTTTCCTTCACTAAAATTTAAATACATTGATCAAGTTTGGGATTTCATGTATTCTGATTTGACTCAAAATTCTCATATTTGATTTATAACAATGTAAAATATTTATCCAAATTATAAAAATTCTAAAATAAACAATATAATAGCTCGATAATATGTAGCTTCATTTCTTGTGTATTTTAGTCTAGGCGCCATATAAATAACTGTCAATTGGACCACTGATAATAAGCGATATAAATCATAGCGCTATAGACAGTTAACCAAAAATCAATGCAAACAATTTGAAAGAACAAACATTAAGCATTCATTGTACATAGATATAGGAAGATGTGGTATGAGTGCCAATGAGACAACTCTCCATCAAAATCACATTTTATAAAAGGAAACCATTATAGGTCAAGGTACGGTCTTCAACACAGAGCCTTGGCTCACACCGAACAGCAAGCTATAAAGAGCCCCAAAAAATGAATAGTGTAAAATCATTTAAACATGTATATTTATTTAATGAATTGATTAAGGCAAATTAATTAATATTTTTCAATTGATTGGTTTTATTGTCCTATACAAGTATATATATGGTTTAGGTGGGGATCGGGCCCATAGTGTTCTAGTTAACCCTTCCCTTATTCAGGCCCCTTAAAATACCCCTAAATAGACCCCAATGCACAAACGAGAGATCGATGACTCCGCGAGACATGTTATTGAGTTCTTTTCAATGTTTGTCTCTGTTCAACCTAAATCTGATCAGATAGAGATGAAGTACTAGCCATTAGCAACTACCACCTTACAGGTGTTGCTCTATACTGACCCTCTCTTGTAAAAATATACACATCAAAGAGTCTTTTTCTTGAAAGTATTTTTTTTTTCTATTTTGCTAATTAATGTTTACACTTACTAAAACATGTCATTCAAATCATTCACCACAGGTGTAACGAATGACCTGTCTTCTGGTTTTGTTACTCCAATGAAATGATGTGATGATTTCTTCATCTTTTCAGAAGTTGGTAATCCTGCCAACTGAAGAGTCCACACACTTAATGGGTTCCATTTTTTTGACCTGTATAATGTTTATATAAGTAATTGTCTTATACAGTCTAATGAAGTTTATGTAAGCAATTGTAGGCTTGTGTACACAGCTTTGATCATGTTGATCAACAATGAAAAAAATCCATACAGTATTTCCCACATGAAAAAATGTCACTATTCAACTGAGAAAACAAAAGTTTTAATTTATAACAAAACAATTTACGAAAAACAAATATGGTTTACACTAGTTCAGTGGTTTCATCAGAGAAGTCAAATTGAGAATGGAAATGGGGAATGTGTCAAAGAGACAACAACCCGACCATAGAACAGACAACAGCAGAAGGTCACCAACAGGTCTTCAATGCAGCGAGAAATTCCCGCACCCGGAGGCGTCCTTCAGCTGGCCCCTAAACAAATATATATACTAGTTCAGTGATAATGAACGCCATACTAAACTCCAAATTGTACACAAGAAACTAAAATTAAAAATAATACAAGACTAACAAAGGCTAGAGGCTCCTGACTTGGGACAGGCGCAAAAATGCGGCGGGGTTAAACATGTTTATGAGATCTCAACCCTCCCCCTATACCTCTAGCCAATGTAGAAAAGTAAACGCATAACAATAGGCACATTAAAATTCAGTTCAAGAGAAGTCCGAGTCTGATGTCAGAAGATCTATTTTCATATTTAATGATAGATAAAGAACGATCCACAATGACAATAACTTTCACTAACCCTTTTGGGGGTATTGATACCTGTTATCAAATCACTATTTTAAAATTTAAATAATTTTACAATTTCTTGCATGTTTATACTCTATGTACCTGTTACCACTTGTGTCATCTACAAATATATTTATAGGAACTGTGTATATGTCCATGTCTAGCTGTTTTGACATCTCAATCAGATTTTGTACTCTTTCAACATCATCACCCTCATACACCTAGTGAAGAATAATAGAAAGTGAAACAAACATCATCCAAAATACACTAAAAACTTAATTGATTTTTGACCTAGTTTTCTCTCAAACTTTTTTGAGAAAAAAAATAACGTTTCATGTATTTGCCTTATCTCATCTGTCATGTCATCTGTCTTGCTGAAGATAATTATGTCTTTTTGATTCCATAAAAATAACCATTCAATAACTTGACAAACAGATTAATGAGTAATGTTTTTGCTTTCCCTGCTAAAGTACTTACTTTTTTGTATAATGATTAGTGACTGAACATATGTTTTTCTTTTAAACTAGTGGCATACTTTTTTTAAAATTAATTTTATTGGTAATTTTTGTTTTAGTAATTACTTATATATAGACGTAGTGTCCCGTACGAAATAAGTAGTAGGATTCCACCTAGACACTAGTAGGAATGTAGTAGGAATCTACCTAGAATCAAAGATTCTGTATAGAAAGTAGACGGACAGGGAAAATTAACAAAATTCTGACTGGATTTTTTTATTTTCTCACTAGCAAAATCCTACCATCTAGCAGGAATTTTAAAAGTCTGTATGGATTTTTTTCTGTTTTGAAAATCTTAAGTGGGAATTTAGACAGGAAATATGATTAGATTACTCATTTTCCTACTACAAGATTCCTACCAGAATTTATTTAATCCTACTAGAAAATGTTTTTACATGGAATCTTTTTAATTATCTTAAACTGGATTCCTGTTTGCTAATGACACAAATTTTGCTGTGTTGACTGCAACCAAGTTCCAGTTCACAAATTCAAAAGTTAGAGGGTAGAAGAATGAAAAGTTGTGTTGGAACACAACGCTGCAAGGATCAAACAACTACAATATTGAAATATGAGAAAATATGGCTCATGTTGATTGAAGGTAATTTTTATACTTTTAAGGTAGATGGGGTGTCTAAATTATAATCCATAGAATTTTTTTTAAATTTGCCAAAATGTAGTTAATATCATGCTTTTTAAAAAAATATAATAAAAATAATGGGTCACAGGCCTTATTTTCACGCTACAGGTTGTGCAAAATTGACAGATTTTGTATAGATTATGCATGGAAAACCCAATTTTCTGCCATAAAATGAAAACTACACCATAGAATTTTGAGATAAAATATGAAAAGATAGCACTAATAGTATGCTTTCAGATAAGAAAAAGAAAAAATGGGGTCACCGTACCCGTTTTCTTGCTACATAATAAAATAGGTAAATTCCTAACACATTCTATTGTAAAAATAACCTTATGTGAATTATCTGCCCTTACATTTGAGTTGCCTCCCCTTATGTGGCAACGTTGGGAAATATAGAATCAAACAAAAGTATTCATTTTTTTTGTAAAATACAACAATAAATATGATAAAATATGTCATTTTCTATATTGAAATGAAAATTCTTACACATGAATTGCCTACTACTCTCAAAATTTGTACCTTTTATTATAGATCTAGACTGATTGTTTTCTGGTATTTCAAAATCCAAGATGGAGGAAGACACCCTATCTACCTTAATATGAAATTTGTTATCTGTTTGCCAATATATATTAGTTAATTCAACAACAGTGCATAACTTTCCTCATTATTTGTTCATAACTCTTTAATTTCATCTAATCAACATTTTTGTCCATCTACATATATAACACAATTTCTAACTTGAATACATCACAGTTTCCTCATACATTTCAAAAGTCATTTTTTTTTTAATAAATCTATTCCATACATTTCCTTTGTTCTTTGTTGTTGAGATTCAAACTTAAATGATTGACCCAGTTGTGTATTTGTGAATATACACTTACATTTTGTATATTTTTAGATTCCTACTAGAAAATATGTTTTTTCTATGTGGAATTTTGAAAAATTCCTACCAGGTTTTCTAGTAGGAATTTTATTTTCCCGCCAAATTATTCCTAATAATTTAAATATTCATGGTAGGAATATACAATATTCCTACTAAGAAATTCCTGCTAATTTAAATTTTTCGTCTTATAATTTTCCGTGTGGATTCCTACTGGAGTCTGACTGGAATATAACTCTTTTCTGGTAGGAATTCATTACAATATTCCTACTATATTCCGTGTTCATTCTTTCAACTTTCAGATAAAATGAAATATAAATGAATTATCATTCTCTGCACAAAAAAAAATGTTGTATTGCTACACCACGGCACCATGTTAAGGGAGGTTTGAGTGCTCACAAACATGTTAAACCCCGCCTCAATATATATGTGTCTGTCCCTGGTCAGGAACATGTAATATAGCGGCTGTCGTGAGTTGCTGCCTGACATTTTTGTTTATGATTTTGTCATAAATCAGGCAATTTTGATACGGTATGGGTTTTGTTCATTGTGAAGTGTACAGTAACCAATAGTTGGTCAAATCTATTTCATTTGGACTTTGTTTGAAAGTTCTCTCAGTGAAAACCATTCCACGTCTCCTTTTTCAATTAAAGTTATTGTCTTATTTGTAAAAGGCAGATACAGCCAATATATTAGAATAAAGAACATTAATTTTCTAAAAAAAACTTCATCTCTTTATAGTAAGAAATGAACAAGCTCGGTGGCTAACACTGTTTAAATTTAAAAAAAATATTAACCTTAGATTAATCATTTTTGGAAAGAATGAAAGAAGAATCCGATACAAGGGATACAAATCCGGCTGTGGCTACGGCATAAACTATTTATATAAACTTTCTACTTGAGAATAAAGATGACCTAGTATGAAGGGCCAAGTGAGCTTTTCTCATCACTTGGCGTCCGTCGTCCGACGTCGTCGTCGTCGTCGTCGTCCGGCGTCGTCTGTTAACTTTTACAAAAATCTTCTCCTCTGAAACTACTTGGCCAAATTTAACCAAACTTGGCCACAATCATCATTGGGGTATTTAGTTTAAAAACTGTGTCCGATGACCCGGCCAACCAACCAAGATGGCCACCATAGCTAAAAATAGAACATAGGGGTAAAATGTAGATTTTGGCTTATATCTCTGAAACCAAAGCATTTAGAGCAAATCTGACATGGGGTAAAACTGTTTATCAGGTAAAGATCTATCTGCCCTGAAATTTTCAGATGAATCGGACAACCCGTTGTTGGGTTGCTGCTCCTGAATTGGTAATTTAAAGGAAATTTTGCCGTTTTTGGTTATTATCTTGAATATTATTATAAATAGAGATAAACTGTAAACAGCAATAATGTTCAGCAAAGTAAGATCTACAAATAAGTCAACTTGACCAAAATGGTCAGTTGACCCCTTAAGGAGTTATTGCCCTTTATAGTAAATTTTTAACCATTTTTCGTAAATTTTTGTAATCTTTTACAAAAATCTTCTCCTCTGAAACTACTTGGCCAAATTTAACCAAACTTGTCCACAATCATCATTAGGGTATCTAGTTTATAAAAAAAGTCCGATGACCCCGCCCGCGAACCAAGATGGCCGATATGGCTAAAAAATAGTACATAGGGTAAAATGCAGTTTTTGGCTCATATCTCTGAAACCAAAGCATTTAGAGCAAATCTGACGAGGATAAAATTGTTCATTACCTCAAGATCTATCTGCCCTGAAATTTTCAGACCAATCAGGCAACACGTTGTTGGGTTGCTGCCCCTCAATTGACCCCTTAAGGAGTTATTGCCCTTTATAGTCAATTTTTTACAATTTTCATAAATTTTGTAAATTTTTGTAAACTTTTACAAACTATTTTCCACTGTAACTACTGGGCAAAGTTCATTATAGATAGAGATAATTGTAAGCAGCAAGAATGTTCAGTAAAGTAAGATCTACAAACACATCGCCATCACCAAAACACAATTTTGTCATGAATCCATCTATGTCCTTTGTTTAATATGCACATAGACCAAGGTGAGCGACACAGGCTCTTTAGAGCCTATAGTCTTTGGTTGTCATCTTAATATTATATACTTATTAATACAATTCACAAAAGCTAGCATCTTCGACTTGTAAGTTTAAAGAATTATAATGAAATAGCATCTAATAAGGACAGGTTGAAATATTTTTGAATCCTGATGGTGCATACTCATAAATTCTTTTGGAAAAATCCACGTAAATTTGAATGTTGATTTGATAGCGTTCATTTATTTATTTGCCCTCGTAAACAGTTTTGTTAAAATACCGAAATCGGTAAATTCTTATCGTGAACGAATAAGTCGGGTACACCTTTTTACATTCAGGCGTGCTTAAGTTGCACTTTTTTCTTCTTATTAAGAAAAATGATTTTAATTTTAGCATCCATCTAAAGATTAGATTATTTACACACACACAAAAATAGGGCATACTGTTGATTTTGAAACTCTATGAATTCACATTTATATTCAACAAAACAGATAGGCCGAGATCCATGATACCTTTATAAGTTTCAAAACATAGAAGGTGTGTTTGAAAACAAATAATCACGTACTGCTATATCTTTTAAGGCAAATGCAAGTCTTACTTGTATTAATTATATAATTTTAATTGGCACAATATCACATTATAAAATTTACTGAGAAATATTATACATAGTAATCATGAAAATGTACTACTGTAACAATGAAAATTCGGACGAATACACTCCTTTTCACTGCCCCTCCAGATACTCATTTAAGTTTAGGCCAAACAGCCTTAGCAACAGTCTTTTATTATTTTTTCCCTGTAAATAAAAAGATACAATCTTATTTTCAATAAGAAACAAGAAAATTAATTCGAAACACAATTCATGATTTATTTCTCCTAATTTTCAATGAAAACAAAGTATTTTCTTCACTTTTCTTTTAACAAATTATTCATTTCAGAAATTTAAAAAATAAACAATATATAATGTTGAAGACCGTTCCTTGACCTATAATGGTTTACTTTTATAAATTGTGACTTGGATGGAGAGTTGTCTCATTGGCACTCATACCACATCTTCCTATATCTATTTAACCCAGCACATTCTTTATGTGTCTGTCCGAAGCCACGAGCCTGTAGTTTGGTGGTTGTCGTTGGTTCATCTCTATCATATTTGTTATTTTTCGTAAATTGTTTTGTTTTTGTTATGAGTTAGGCC